CCACAACAGGTTTGTGCCCATGATAAATATAAATGGTTTATTACCAGGACAATGGTTTTCTGCCCAGGACAACAGGTCTGTGCCCTGGACAAATGGTTTATAGCCAGGACACCTGTTTGATGCCCTGGACACCAGCAGGTTTATACTCAGCACATCTGGTTTGTACCCAGTTCAGCTGTTTTATCCTCTGTACAACTGATTTACACCCAGTTCTTGCACCCTTCACACTGGAGAATGCTGTTCTCGTGGCTGTAGGAGTGGGATACAGAGCTTTGGGAATTTGTCAGCTGGAATCCRGTTAATTCCTGTGTTCTCCTTGCCCTGAGGATGGGATGATGGGATGCTGCAGCACTGCCTGACACTGATGGAGTGCAGYGGTTGTACAATTGAATTCCGCCTCCAGCTCTAATTCTGTTGGAGTTTAGGCTTTGCTGCTGAAATAAATTAGGGAATCTGATGCCTGACTTGGCTGCAGACCTCCCCAGGCACGGAGGTGTTGCTGCAGAATGCAAATGTGCCCTTTCTTAGCATAAAACATTGTTCCAGAGATGTGTTTTCGACCTCAAGGGGCCATTATGGGCTCCTAATCCTGTGCTGGTGACCAGAATAGTCTGCAGCAGACATTTTGGRAAGGGTTTATTGCTTTTCCATATGCTCAGGGCAGCTTAATGTGTTTCACCAGTTGGCTCYAAGATCCCAAAGCTGCCACTGGTCCTGGAAAAATGAATTGATGCCCACAGCCCTGGTGGCAGTTTGTGTGTGGAGAGGCTGAATGTGCTGGCAGGAGGCAGGAGAGGCTTCTGAGAGGGAAACTAGAGCCACAGGGCYTTTTTAGCAATCTAATATCTGTTTTATTCTGGTGGAATAAGATTTTCTGGATTTCCAGGGGTGGGATRCTGTTTTTGTCACCCTTTTAATCAYTGGATCTGGTGTCACTGCTGGGCTGCAGGACACAGGTGGGATCACCTGCAGTGGGATGTGTGCACACCTGGCAGTGGCTGTCCCTGTGTCCTCTTCTCCTGAGGAGAGATTTTCCTTTCTTTTGCTGCTTCATCCTGACACCTTTCTGTTGATGTTATTTTCACTCTTGACCTGTTTTAACCATTCATGTTTGGTGTCATGGAGCAGCAACACTGAGTTCTGGTTAAGTTGGACTCATTGTGCAACAAAAAAAAAAAACTGGGAAAAACATTGTAGATTGGAAAAGCAGCTGAGCAGCTGAGAGACACCTGGCACAGGTTGGGGATGAGCCGGATCTTCCAACTGAAATAGAAATCCAGTTACCCTTCAAGCTGTTCCCTGTCATTTGTGCTGATTTCCCTAATCAATTACAGGCTATTTTTAGCCCCCTGCAGGGAGTTTCTAAGGTCCACTCTGGCACGGTTCCTGTGTGACTGCTTGCAAATGAGGCAGGTGACAGAAGTGGCCCTGGAGCAGGAARGGCCACAGATTTCACAGCATCAGTCATTAACGTTCTCTGTGTCTGGGTATTCACTGTCAGATCTTGTYRAGGSAGAGTTTAAGATCCATTCTGGAAAKCTCAARTGCTGTTAGTCCTGCAGGCCAAGCTGGTGGGAGGTGGAGGGGAAAGACCTGGAGCAGGACAGTGGGTGGACAGCATCCAGCAGAGCTCTGGGAATTCTGAACTGCTCTTTCACAGCCGTGGAATGAGGAGGGGGTGCTTCCTGTGGAGGTGTAAAACCAGACTTGTGTGACATTTGTGTCCCCTGCAGATCTCTGACCCCGAGGCCTGTGACCAAATGTACGAGAGCTTAGTCAGGATCCACACCAACTTCTACAAAAATAAGGTGAGAGCTGTGGCATGGCCACTGYCCCTCTTTTGGGGGGGSGGGTCACCACCTGCTGCAGGATTGTTGGGAATGACAGGATTGCTGGGAATGCTGGGGAACAGCTGAGGGGTGGATGAAGCAATGCCTGTGGTCACCCTGGCCAGCTGCAAAGGGCTCTGCTGTGTGAGTGTGGGCGAACAGAATTCCAGCTGAAAGTGAAGTCAGACTATGCCAGCTGGTGACATTTTACSTTTACCATGCACTGCAAGTGACATCTTTGTCTCTGTCCCTCCTTTTCCYGCTCTCCTGGGAAGTACCCACGCCTGAAAGACACCACCTTCACCGGGGTGACAATAGAGGACTGCAGGATGATCCTGGCCACAGGTACTGCTGCTGGGYTTGCTCTGAGAGGGCAGGGCAGGAGGGAAGGGATGTTTTGGCCTTTAGGGTGCTCCTTGCATCACCCCTGTGGCTGGAGGGCAGCCAGGGGCTGTCTGCAGTTGTGTGATGGTGTTGGATGAGGAGTGAGGTCAGGAATAACTCAGCTGAGGGGTAACTCMGTGTATTGGGGTGAAGAATCAATGGGATTTTGCCCTGGCAGGAACAGGAGAGAGATTGCAAAGGCTCTTTGGGGTCAGCCAGCAGGATCTGTGTGGAAGGAACACATTTGCTACGTCACCAACACTGAGATCAGTTTCTCTTTCACCATCTTCCAATTCCCTGCCTATTCCTTCTGTGTCAGACTTTGGGAAGGAGCCGGGTACCCCACGCAGAAATGCTCTCAGCACATCCTGTATGAAGGGCAGAGCTGGGAGCCAGAACAGTTTTGTTCTGCTCCAGTTCCTGACTTTGATTGCAGTGCGTGGAAACTGAGTATCAGTTGTTTGTGATAAGAGACTCCCCGCATTGATTGGAAGGGAAACCAACCTCGCCTCGGGCCTGGAATGAAAATTCATTAAGATGAAAAGTCAGGAAAGCAAATTAGATGGAAGGCAGAGCTGTTTTAAGAGGGCTTCATTCCTCTGCTTTTCTGCTTATCTTCCCCTGGCCCTATCTCTGTCTCCCTTCTCCTTTTGCAGACATTCTGAAACAGATGGAAGACATGAAAAAAGGGACGTGGAGAAGACTGCGGGAAAAGTTCTCTGCCAAGAAACCCGAGGAGGACTTGAATTGAGGGCCCAGCTCTCAGCTTCCCCACTGTACATATCCCTGAAGCTCTGTGTGTTGCCATGATGAATAAAACCACTTATTCCTCTTAGCAACAGCATTTTTATTCAACCCTACCCTGTACATTCTTCATATTTAGTGCCTCCTTTTTACTGCTAAAAATCTGGGGCAGAGCTTAACACATCCATGCTGGAACAATGTAGGAAAAGGGAACTTTGTGGTGTCAAACCTGGTCCTTTGTATCTCAAAAAAAATGGAACAACCAGGAGCTGCCCAGAGGGAGGAGATGCAGCTTTAAATGTTCTTGTGAAGAGAACAGAGAGGATGTGAAAACCTCTCTGTGCCTGTGTTTGTGTGTTAGCWCAGGGACCAGGGCAGCGGAGGGAGGGAGAACTTTAATCATCACATTTATTTTTCTTCGGAGAAGATGGAGAGGACGGAGGGTGACTTTGCCATGGTGACAGCGGAGCACGGCACGAGTTTAATTGAGATTTCGATCAGCTGCTGCTGGAGCCAGCTCTGTGCAGATTCCCCTCAGCCTGAGGAGAGGGATGTGTGTGGGTTAGTGCAGAGCTGAGGGTGAAGGCAGGATTAAATGACATGCTGCTAGATGGGGCCATAAACACATTTCATAAGTGCTCTGCAACTTCACTGTTACAGCCTTTTTTATTCCTTTTTAGAGCTTTACTGCTTTCATCAGTGTCTGTTCCTGGGCTTGGAGCTRGGGCTGGCTTGGGAAGGATGAGTGTCTGGAACAGAGCTGTGCCAGAGCTCCACAGCACCAACAGCTGCTCCTTTTTACGGGTTTCAGCAGTGATTTCCTGGCAGGGAGTGAAAGAATTTCAAACTGCAGCAGGCTCTGCTCCAAAGCTTCAGGAACCGAGGCTGGTGTTCATGGTGGCTCTTCATGGCAGCGTTTGGCATGGGGTGTACAACACCTGGAGCTGGGAGCAGAGGGCTGGGCAGCACCTTGGGTGACAGCCCTGCTTTGGATTCAGCCCCTGGGGTTGTTCTGTGCTTCTATTCAACAGCCCCATCACACACCAGAGGGCACAGGAAGGAGACTTTCTTTACCATGTTGAAATTTTTATTATAACATGATTTTGTATTTAATTTAGTTAAGGCAATTTACACTTCAGTTCTTAAGTAACAACGACAACTAAAAAAAAAAAACAAAAACAAAAAAAAGGTAAAACATGACACCAGAGATGAAACTAAAACACAGGACACCCCTTCACAGTGAACTCCTGTAAACCTGCAGKCTCCCACTACTGCTGCCCAAAGATCCTTGGTCCACAGAAGGCAAAAGACTTTTAGTTTTTCCCACTAGGACAAGCTCAGCTCCTCMTCTGGTGAGTTAATTAAATTAAATCCACCTCCTTGAGTTCAGCTGCTCTTTACTGCACCAGARGACGAAGAGAATTGTGTAAATGGAGAGAGGTCAGCGTGGAGCAGGCACAGCAGATAACGAGGGCTGCTTGGCAAAGATCCACAGGGACAAGTGGCACTCAGAATAAGTTAAATAGTGCGGCCCTACAGCTACTTACCCCACAGCCGAGGGGCTGGAGCACATGGAGATAAAGATACAACCCTCCACGGGTGCAAAATAAGAGTTACTGCAATGAGGAATGAAAGTCCTGTATGACTGATCTTCCTACGAGGGTGTTGGAACAAGACCTGGGCCCAGGTGTGGGGAGGAATCCGGCCAGTCCCTGCTGCTGGAATTGCTTACAAGCGCTCTAAGGGAGATGCTGCCTGGGAAGCCCTTTCCACATGGTCCATCATCCCCAAATGGTGACAATTCCTGCCTGGAGCCCAGGGAGGAGCAGCCTCCTCAGCTGACACAGGTGCAGTCCCCCGGTGGGTGAAGTTGTCTCAGTGGTTCATGGTGTTCTGGACATCCACAAACCCCATCCTCTGCCTGCGCTTCCGCTGCTCTGTCATCTGCAATTCAAACAAGGACAGTGAGGCAATTCCCAGGCCCTCCTGCTCTTGGATGTGCTTCCCAAGTGTCTGACTGMACCGCTTTGAGCCTCTGCCAGCAAACTCGGAGCTGATGAGGCACTACCCAAAGCCAAGTGTCCCTAATTCCCCCAAAAAAGAGCTGCGGGAGCCCATTGCTTGTACTGTAGTCGTGCTGCCTCAGGCCATCAGTGTCTATTTTGGGATGGACAGAGGGTTCCTCCAGGGAATTTCCCATTTCCCATACCTGTTCCTTCAGCTCGTTCAGCTGGGAGGTGAGGTGGGACACGAGTTTCATGGTGGTGTTGAGCTTGTCCTGCAGATTGCGGATCTCGTTCTGYTCCCCTTCCCCTTCATTGCTGACCAGAGACATGGCTCGCATCCGGGGGAACCAGTCCAGGTTCTTGTTCTGGGAAGGTGACCACGGACAAGGGCAGTTAGGGTGAGGGGTCAGAGAGGAAGAGGGAAGAGAGGATTTAACAGTCAGCCTCCCTGTGCGTAGGGATTAAAGAAATTCTTTGCAAAAAATTTGCAATTTTGCCACAAATGGCCCATTTCTAGGTTGTTTCATGGGCTCAAGTGCAGAAGTTTGTCTTTCCTCGCTTTCTTTCCCTCCCTTGACTTGAATCCCCTTTGAAGCCACARTCTTTGCTTGGTTCAACCTTTCAGCTCAAGGTACAAACCCTCCAACAGACCACGTGGAAAAAAACCAGCTAAGGACAAACTAAAGCACTGCACCATTAATCACTACTTTCCAAAAGGACTTTCCAGAGCTGTTTTTCCTTGACCAGCCCCTTGTTCCCTTGTTCCCCAGGGCTGGCAGGTTGGGATGGGCAAGGAGTTGCCCTGAGGGCTCCTGTACCTTTATCATCTGTGCCACGTAGCTCTCGGGACCGGTGTAGTCGGTCTTGTTCTTCACCCTCACCAGCACGATGAAGTACAGGTAGTTCCACATGTTGTGCTCGTATTTGATGTGCTCCTCAAAGGACACCGTCTTGTTGTCAAACTTGTCCCTTTCCAGCCCTGGGAAAGGCAGGGAAGGGTGGAGGAGGACAGGGAGGAGATGGGGAGGGGAGGAGGTGGAATGAAATGTGGAAGGAAATTCAGCCAAGTGCATCCCCTCACAGGGGTGACATTCAAGTGCTTTCAATAATTAGTCAGCGTTTAGCACATCAACATCCAAACCCGGGGGCAACAAGCCAGCTGGGGGTTCAGGAAACTTTTCTTTGTAATCACAGAATCAGAGAATCATGAATGGATTGGTTTGGAAGGACATCAAAGCMCATCCAATTCCACCCCTGCCATGGCAGGGACATCTCCCACCATCCCAAGGTGCTCCAAGCCCCATCCAGTCTGGCCTTGGACAAATCCAGGGATCCAGGGGCAGCCACAGCTTCTATGAGCACCCTGTCCCTCACCCTCCTAGGGAACAATTTCTTCCCAAATCCTGCTGGCTCTGCCTCTGCCCAGGTACCTACACACACAAGCACACCCAGAGGATCTTTAAAGGAAAAAGCAGAGAGATTTACTGAGACGTTCTATTTTTTTTTTATGCCTTCTGCTGACTGAAAGGATTCCAGACAATTTTCTCTATTATATTTCTACAATAATATGCTGCTTTTTTCCCCACTGGCCAAGGGAAGGTCTCAGGAGTGAGATGCACAGTGAAAGAACCCCACAATGTGGTTTTAGTTTAACACCTCGTTAGCAGGGTGAGAGACAACACCAAGAATTCCCCTCTAGTTGTGACCTTGTTTAAATCTCTCCCACTGCAGTGACCCCTCGCTGAACAAATTCAAGTTTTGCAGTGATAAATAAAAACCAGAATCCAGCTGAAATCCTTTTCCTTCCCCCAAATTTGAAGAGGAGGAGGAGCTTTGGGGCAATTCCTGTGCTCACCACAGATAAAACAGGTGGTCTTCAGGATYTCTTCCTTCTTCTGCTTCTCACTCCTCAGATCAGCAAAGGTGTCAATAATGACCCCAAAGATGAGGTTGAGGACGATGATGATGACAATGAAGAAGAAGAGGAGGTCGTAGACGACTCGAGCAGGGAACAGGGACTCCTGTAATGGGTGAGAAGAAGAATTGGGTGTCCTGCACATCCCCACTCCAAGGCACGGCCGTGGCTGAGGCGTTTGGGGAGGAGGGGAAGATGAGGGATGAAACTGGATGTGCCCAGCTCCCAGRGAGGGAAGGGGCAGCACTGAACACAGTGGGGTTTTAGCAGAGGAAAGAGGTCCCAGGCGCTGTCCCCACTCACATCCTTGGAGGGTTTCCTCAGGATGTCCCCGACGCCGCCGCCGTTGCGCAGGCCGTGGTTGAGGACGGTGACRATGCACATGAGCAGCGTGTCACAGGCACGTTCCCACTGCTCCGGGTCTGCTTCTGCAGGCAAAACAGCAGCCAGGGCTCAGATAGGTTGGATATCAGCAAAAGGCTTTTTATGGAAAGGGTGGTAAAGCACTGGAATGGTGTGTTTGGGGAGGTGGTGCAGTCACCATCCTTTCCTTGGATGTGTTTAATAAAAGATTGGATGTGGCACTTGGTGCTGTGGTTTAGTTGAGGTGTCAGGGCATGGGTTGGACTCAAAGATCTTGAAGGTCTCTTCCAACCCTGGTGATTCTGTGATTCTGTGAGCATGGACAGGACACCAGGCCCTGGCAGTGGGGTGACTCCATCYGAGCTGACACAGCAGCAGCTGCCTGTTGGGGATGTCCCAACCAGCAATGTCCCAGCAGCTTCTCCAGCAGCAAAATGCTCCTGAAGCTCCCACCTCCTTTGTTGGAGCTCCCACCCCAAATTTTTTTTATGCCAGGATCAGGGCAAAATTCCCATGCCTCATGCCTACYATGTGCMAGGAAGYGGAWTTAGTTTGCACCTTGGAAAAGTCARGWTTTTCCTGGGCTGGCTGGCAAATCCTCACTACCACACAGAGCTGGCATTTCCAGCAGCTCTCTTACCTTCCAAGGCAGTGGGTGCWGCAGAGCAGCTGATTTTGTCACTGCTGCACGACTCCACGAAGGTCTCCACGTTCCTTTGCATCCCCAAAGGATCATCTGCAAGGGAGAGACCCCAGCCCTGTGAGAGCAGCCCAGCAAAGCTCCTCACCACTGCCAGAGCCTCCCAGGAAAATGCCAAACTTCTTGGGGAAAAGTTGCCTCATCTTCTCCTATTTTTTCTAGGCTTTAAAGCTTTTTCTCAAAGTTGACACCCAGTAGTGCTGGCTCTTCATTTGGAAGATGCCAAACTCCCTGGCAAAAAGTTGCCTCATCTACTTTTTCTAGGTTTTGAAACTTTTTCTCAGGGTTGAGACTCTGCAGTGCTGACCCTTCATTTGGAAGATTCCAAACCCCCTGGGAAAAAAATTGCCTCATCTTCTCCTAATTTTTCTAGACTTTGAAACTTTTTCTCAGAGTTGACACCCAGTAGTGCTGATTCTTCATTTGGAAGATGCCGAACTCCCTGGCAAAAAGTTGCCTCATTTTTTCTAGGCTTTAAAGCTTTTTTTTTTCAGGGTTGACACCCAGTAGTGCTGACCCCTCATTTGGAAGATTCCAAACCCCCTGGGAAAAAGTTGCCTCATCTTCTCCTAATTTTTCTAGACTTTGAAACTTTTTCTCAGGGTTGACACCCAGCAGTGCTGACCCTTCATTTGGGAGATGCCGAACTCCCTAGAAAAAGTTGCCTCATCTTCTCCTAATTTTTCTAGACTTTGAAACTTTTTCTCAGGGTTAAGACCCCGCAGTGCTGACCCTTCATTTGGAAGATGCCGAACTCCCTGGCAAAAAGTTGCCTCATCTTTTCCTATTTTTTCTAGGCTTTAAAACTTTTTTGTTTTTTTTCAGGGTTGACACCCAGTAGTGTTGACCCTTCATTTGGAAGATTCCAAACCTCCTGGAAAAAAGTTGCCTCATCTTCTCCTAATTTTTCTAGGCTTTGAAACTTTTTCTCAGGGTTGACACCCAGCAGTGCTGACCCTTCATTTGGGAGATGCCGAACTCCCTACAAAAAGTTGCCTCATCTCCTATTTTTTGCCAGGCTTTGAAACTTTTTCTCAGGGTTGAGACCCCACAGTGCTGACCCTTCATTTGGAGCTCTGCACCCYGTTCTCTGCCACCACTGACCCCAAAACCTGCTGAGTGCAGCACTGATCCTCTCTGGGATCCCAAAACCAGTGCTCCCAGTTTAAAACCCACAGAGGATGATCCCACAGCCCCCAAGCACCATCCAAAAAAAACCTTTGGCTTTGCTGTCCGGCAGCCGGTCCACCTCRAGGATGAAATCATCCTTCAGGAAGAGGAAACCCACGATGGAGAAGAGGTAGACGAGGATGAGGGCCAGCAGGGCTGTCAGCAGGATGGAGCGCCCGTTCCGCGTCACGCTCTTGATGACATTAAACAAGGTCTCCTCACGGTAGATCAAGTCAAACAGCTGAAAAGACCAGGAAGCAGAGAAAAAAAGCTTCAGGGTGCTTCTCTTGATAAAGCCTGGCCTATCTATATCCCTCTTTTATCCCCAGATCTCGGCTGGCTCGGCAGACCTTGACTAACTTTTCGCACAAAGCCTTTGAGTTTCCCGGCTTTCTGAAGGGAAGAGGAGAAGAATGGAGCGACTTTTGCGCGGCGGGAGAGCCAAGAATAGGCTACACGTAGCCCAGCTCTGCCCTCGGCGGCTCACGTTGCCTCCCAGCTGACCCAGATAAAGCAGGCAGCAGATTAGAGAGAGAGATACGGCCCGGGAGCAGGGGAGAGGCGGCAGCAGAGAGCGTCGGGAGGCGCAAAGCTCAGCCCACGCAAAGATTACAGMGCGGGGAATTGTTCTCGCTGCTATCGATCAGCCCGTGGAGGGTGTCACAGGAGCCTTGCAGTTCTTAAGGCAGCTGCATGTGCCCCCAAAATCTGCATTTGTTGTACCAGGATGCTGCCTGTGCCCCCAAAATCTGCATTTATTGTACCAGGATGCTGCCTATGCCCCCAAAATCTGCATTTATTGTACCAGGATGCTGCCTATGCCCCCAAAATCTGCATTTATTGTGCCAGGACACTGCCTGTGCCCCCAAAATCTGCATTTATTGTACCAGGATGATGCCTGTGCCCCCAAAATCTGCATTTATTGTGCCAGGCTGCCTATGCCCCCAAAATCTGCGTTTATTCTACCAAAAGCTGCTCATGCCCCCAAAATCTGGCATTTATTGCACCAGGCTGCTCCCTGTGCCCCCAAAATCGAAATTAATTGTACTAGGCTGCCTGTACCTCCAAAATCTACATTTATTGTACCAGACTGCCTGTGCCCTTCAAACATCTTCATTTATTTTAACAGGATGCTGCCTGTGCCCCTAAACACCTGCATTTATTGTGCCAGGCTGCCTGTGCCCCCAAAATCTGCATTTATTCTACCAGAAGCTGCTCATGCCCCCAAAATCTGGCATTTATTGTACCAGGCTGCTCCCTGTGCCCCCAAAATCTAAATTTATTGTACCAGGCTGCCTGTACCTCCAAAATCTGCATTTATTCTACCAAAAGCTGCTCATGCCCCCAAAATCTGGCATTTTTTGCACCAAGATGCTGCCTGCGCACCTAAACACCTGCATTTATTGTGCCAGGCTGCCTCCTGTGCCCCCAGAATCTTCATTTATTGTACCAGGATTCTGCCTTTACCCCTAAAATCTGCATTTATTCTACCAGGATGCTGCCTGTGCCTCCAAAATCTGCATTTATTCTACCAGAGGCTGCTCATGCCCCCAAAATCTGGCATTTCTTGTACCAGGATGCTGCCTATATCCCCAAATTCCGCATTTCTCATACCAGGCTGCTGCCTATACCCCCAAAATCTGCATTTCTCATACCAGGCTGCTGCCTATACCCCCAAAATCTGCATTTCTCATAC